CACCGGTCAGAACCAGCCGCATGAGGACGTCCCTCAGGAAGGTGCTGTTGACCAGGTCCCAGAGCCAGTGGAAGTGTGTGAGGACGTAGTGCAGCACGTCTGGGCGGGGCCTCAGCAGCCGCCGCACCCGGGTCCCCAACTCCGCTGTGGAAAACAAACACACCCAGAGGAGGGTTGTCACGATACTAAAATGTTCAACTCCATACCGATACTCAGGAAAATACTCGATATCGTTTTCGATACCACAAGGATAAAAACAAAGACCCCAAAATGTAACTGAATTGTGTCTTTCATTTCAAACTGACCTGTTACTGATGTTATCGTGACTGGTGGCCCACATTAATGACCCTAACCCTAACCCTGACCCTAACCCTAACCCTAACCCTAACCCTAGCCCTGACCCTAACCCTAAACCTAACCCTAACCCAACCATGACCCTGACCCTCCAGCCTTCACAATAGTAAGAAATAAATATTTTTTGGTTAAACTTGTTTGGACTTATTGTACAAACCTATTTAACATCCACTATTTTAACATAATATTATGGATAGAGTTTAATTCAGTGTTTGCAAGATTCATTTCACTATTTTTAAATTAATGTCTATATTGCCATGAAGCAATTACGATTTTCTTGCCTGGGATCTTCCTATTGATGACCGAATCAAAATGGCCGACTTGGATGTGGGCGGAGTTGGATATGTACTTGATTAATGGTAACATGTTATTATTAGCCATTAGCCGCAGCTAGCAAGGCTAAAGTCTTGTTAATGATCATAAACAACGTAAATAAATACATGAATAAATCAGAGAGAAGGGGGTGGTATCGATACTTTTGAAAATGAGTATCGTATCCGGATACAACATTTTAGTATCAATACTTTTTCGAGTATAGATACTTTTGACAACCCTAACCCAGAGGAGGTTTGGTTACCGGGAACGGGGGGGAAGAAACACACCGGGGTCACCTCACCCCCCCACAGGGCCCCAGGAACCCAGGGTTAGGGTTAGGGGGGCTGGACTTCCCCTCCGTTTCATGAGGCCTGACTACAGCTCCCAGGGTTCCTACGGTAACGAACTGATGCCTCCACCAATCAGGAGGGGCCACAGGTTGGGTTTAAGGAGCCAGGAGTCCAGGATCCAGAGTCTAGGATGAATTAGCTTAAAACTATCCACAATCGGAAGCTAAAGCCGATAAGAATATATTTTTTTCTGATTTTGACCAAAAGGACTGACTCTCCCGGATGGATGCCCTCCCTCCCAGAGATGTATAAAGTACTGGAGTAGAAGAGAGGAGTAGAAGTGCATGTACTATATAAAAAAAATGACTTGAGTAAAAGTAGAAGTATTCTTTCAACACCATACTTAAGTGGAAGTACGGAAGTACTAATTTTTTTACTTAAGTATTGCAACTACAAGTATTTAAAAAATTGCTACTCAAGTTTTGAAAGTACAAGTATAAGTAAAAGTACAAGTACTGTGTATATATTAAAAAACGCAGTAAAACTTTGATAGATATTGCTTGGATTATTTCAAACGTGTGAAAGACACACTACCACTTTAAAAGGCCATAAAGTGGTTTACAAAAAACAGAAAACTACATATGCATTAGCAATCAACAGCACTTGGGGATGATTCATTACGTTTACATATCAGTAACGAGTAACGATTCAGTAAAAAGTATTAAATGAATCAAAAATATGTAGTGGAGTAAAAGTAAAAGTATGGAAAAAAATATATATACTCCAATAAAGTCCAGATACTGCATTTTGGTACTTAATTACACCACTTAAGTAGTTCTACTTCGTTAATGAACATCTCCGCTCCCTCCCGCCTGTCCTGGAATTAGCTGATTCCTTACTTGCATTAAGTTCTTCTTGTCTTCATCAGTGTTAGTCATGCTTTTTGTTTTCTCAAACTGTCACCGGTGGAGTGGGCGACGTGCCAATAACAGTTGTTGTTACTTCCTGTAGGCGTGGCCACGCCCACCGCCACCCATTGGTCTCTGGAGGATGCTGCCCCATGTGGGTGAAAGGAGAAATTTCATCCTTCATCTCGGTTGATGGTTTCTGTGCCTAGCCTCCTGATTTCAATCGCCTCCTTTATCCAGCGCTTGAATTTGTTGGTTTCGGATCCAACGATGTGTGCCCCATCCCAGTCCATAATGCGGTTATTTTTCTTTCGCAGTGATCCGATATGGCCGACTTCAGGTTTTCTCGTTCCGCTTTGTCTTTTTTTTTGTTCTTGTGAGTCTCCCTGTTGTTTCTTTTTTTGCTCCTGGTGACAGTTCTGAGGACGGCTTGCAGCTAGCTGCCGAAACATGTCA